AGCTGCAGTGGTAATTTCTCTCCTCATTAACTTCCTGATTGGTTTCAGGCTCAGGATTCCAGCAGCAGGCAGTTTGTCACCAATTCCAAATGGCCAATCGTTAATACTAATGTTTGTGTAGCTAACTGCCAGCATCTGCCACGGCTTCTTGTACAACAATAATAGTGAAAGGGTAACATTAGAGCTTCCCGTGTTAATTCAGATTCTGTTCATCAATAGGAAAATCTATGATGTAATTAGCAAAATGCATCAGTAGCTGAGGCAGTTGGAGGGAACTAAATCACAGAAGGAGCTCCATGAGCCCCTGACACCTTTATCATCAATACTATGTTCTGGATTTTACTGTTCAGTGGAAAGTATTACCAGCCTGTGGTCTTTTAAAAGAGAATATTGTTTACAGCCATTGCTTGTTTCTTAGAAGCCATGATGAATCTAGTACAACTGCACAAAAACAAGGAATATGGAGCTGAGGCTTAAACTCTGTCACTGAAATCACACCGCTGTGCCTAAGTGAGCTGCTCCTCCACACTTGAGCCCTGGGTGCTTTCAGACTGGGGAATTCTAGAAGTCCTGAAGTTCAATGAAAAAGATGAAGTCAGGCTTGACTTTGATAGCCAGTCAAGTTCAAGAGGATTCAAGGAAAGTAAACTGCACCACCTGGGTTTAGCCCACTTTTTCCTGAGAAAATTAGAAATACACTCTTACAAAACCACGAACATTCCATTTCTGTAGTACCCAGCGTTTCTGCAGTAACTTCCATTTGCAGCTCAGCTTCCAAATTTGTCCTGTTTTTAAACACAACACTGGTTACAAAGAGATGGAAAAGACATGAAGTTGACATCACACACCATTTTCACCTACTTAACCCATGAGCAGACAAAATAGCCATTTCCATTACTTTCAGGGAGTTTTGACCATTTTTGATATTGCAGAACCTGACTCCTTGATTTAAGGCAAGTGTCTCCTTTGATGCATATAAGGGATGACTAAGGCTCTAACATCACTCTGCCAAAGCAGACCCTATTATTGTCTTTTAGAGCTCACATAAATTTTTTAACTCCAGGGAATGGGATATTAACCCTAGATTAGATTTTTTCCCAGCTAAAATGCAAAGAAAAGAACACAGTGCTTAGACATGAGGGAGTGACAAAGGTTTGAGTCAAGGTAACTTCGAATTGTTTTTATATATTCTGCAAATGCTAATTGTTTAATATCACAGAAAGAGGAATCTGGTCTGCAGCATCATGTACTCCTTTGCCATGTGGTCAAATGCACAGAACTGCCAAACAGATCCCCAACTCCTCCAGGAGGGAAACAACCAGTGCACTGATCTGCACTTAGAACAGGCTGGAACTGCACGTACATAACCTGCAGTTGGAAGGTTATGTATGTGCAGTTCCAGCCTGTTCTTAGTGGAACTTAGAACTGTTTAGATTTTTAATTTTTCTAGCTCACCAACCTTGATGTAAGTGCTTCAGAATCAGAAATGATCCTTATGGTTTCCAAGAATGTAACTCTCTTCTGCCATAAGAACACACCAGGAGATTCCTAATGGTGTGTTTCCTACCCTTCCTTTTTAGTGTTTAAGCAGGGTTGGTATCAGAGTCCAAGGAGAAATCGCATCTCTTCAGTGTCTGGATGAGGATACCACTTGTCTTTCCACTTCCTTCCTCTATTAAGTAATTTCATCATGGCCTAAGAGCTCCGAGGACTTGAAACAAGTGTAAACATGAAGATTACAGGAAGCAAGCAGAACAGAGAAACATTTCTTGTTCCTCTACAAGGGAAGCAACACAAACATCCTCACTGTATGGCCCAGTCTGCATCACACTCCTATGATCTCAAACACACATCATGCACTACTTCATGTGAGTATCTTGTTGGAGTGGCTCATGCTCTATTATGTAATGGCAGAGCAGAGATGCTCTGTAGGTCCACATGCCAATGTCTAATCACCTAACAGAAAATGCAGAATTATCACCTCTCCTACAGACCAGCTCCTCAATGGTAATTCACAGCTTTTAAGTTGTGCCTGCCAACAATTGCAGCTTTGGTAGGATATGGCACTAGGAATCATCTCCTTCTCCATAAGGTGCCTTGCATTATGTAGTACTGCAGCTGGCATCACCTCAACAGAGCTGCTGGCTCAAGGGCTCAGCTCTCCAGCTCTCAGAACATCATTCTGCTCTGATTTAGCAAAGCCCAAGGTGTGTGAAGGATTAGGACATGTTGTAAGGATTTTGCGTGTTCCTAGACTCCAGGACAAAAGTATGAGGGAAGTGACTGAGGTTAAAAGGGGATAACTTTTTGTTTAATCCCAAGTAGCCAATGGGCAAGAGGTTTATTTATTTCAAAGGATTTGTTAATACTTCTAAGCATGGACGTGCCTGAAGTGATGTAAAGGCCCGCTTTTAAATACTGACATCTATAAATCTCTGATCTCTGTAACCAAGTTTCAGAAAGTGTTGGGTTTTTTGGGGTTTTATTGGGTTGGTTTTTTTAAAATTTATTTTCTAAACACAAAGAATCCAACAGATTCATCATGCTACAGTACAGATGTTAAAACCCTACCATAGCAAAACTGCCACTTTGTTTTTGTGGTATACTTTTTGAGCAACTCTATGTTAGTTTAGTATAGACCTGTGGAATGACACAGAGGACAACTGCTTTTGGTAGACAGACAACCAAATCTGTTTCTTAGCATCTCAAGTGGTGGCTCCTAAGTCTCCAAGTGAAGCTCCACCAATTTTTCCACTGACTTCCAAATTAATCAAAATTTTGCTTATTAGACAATTTGGGCTGTATACCCTGCTCTCTGAATATATGTAAGTGTATGTAATAAGAGCCACAAAGGTTTTAAAAACAACCTGGCACTACCAAGATTTACCTTGAGCAGGTAAGACTGCTACTTCTGCATCCAGACCTGGACTGCTTTATTGAACAGACCTCCACTGCAGTCAACAGTAACTGAGGTCAAGCAAGGTGCAGTGAGTAGGTGCAATGCTGATAAAAAGTACAAGATACTCAGATTGGGACTTGTAGCTATAAAAAGGCAGCAAAAAGGAAATAAGCCATTCTGTTCCAGTGTTTTAATCATACAGCAATGAAATGTAGAAATTCCAAGTTCAAAGAAACAAAACCCATGTTCTTTTTGACTTAAGTATATGAGTTTCATCTGTTTGAGGCTTGTGGCTGATCCTCCCACAGTTGTTACAAAGCCCTTATCTGTGTAAATAACAGCACCAGAATTGGGTCTATGACAGTTTTTAAAGACCATTTCTTAATCTAATTAACTTTTACCCTTGGGAAAGCACCTGAATACTTTTGAGCCGTATGAATCTGAGAAAAATTCAGCTAATATCACACAGGAAAAGTAGTGAGAAGGGATCTCAACCACAGACACAAAACCTTATGTCTTCTGACACTGGTAACTACACTGTCTTTTTCCTTGAGTGATCCCCGAAATTCAGTGGACTGAAAAGATTAATACACTTTCAGTGATGTGAAAAATCAGAGCGACATTCATGCTTGGAAAGTATATATTTTCTTGAGTATACATTTAAAAAACAATCCAACTCTAAATAAGGAATAATTTGTAAGGATTTAAAACCGAGTGGTACAATTAATTTTTTTAATCTCTTTTACCTTTCTTAGGGAAAGTGAGTAATCACGTCAGGCCCACACACTGCTAAGGGTTATTCACTTCTTGTTGAATACTTGCACACAGCACAGCCACACATGTAAGATGGAGAACTAGATGCTGCTGGCAGTTTGATGGCATGGGAATATCACTAAAGCATGCCTGAAGTTTTTGGCATTAGAGTTGAGAGGAACTGCTCTTCGTAGTACCTTCCCCTCCAAAACACTTTCCTTCTGCAAATACGACTGCTGCTGCAAGCAGCAACTTCCAGTCTAGGCTACAGAGATCCCACATAAAGGCTCCTGAAAACCAGACTGGCTGGGAAACACTGGAAGTCAAGGCAAGAAGCAAATCATGGTACCTGCAGACAGGGCAGAATAAGAGAAAATTGCCATCTCCTCAGGATGCCAATTCAAACCACTAGGAAACATAAAGGGTGGCTGGCCATGCTGGCTGACTTGGTGGAAATAACCACAGGTCAAATGCAGTTTGAAAACACTGCGCTGTTTTCACGTAAGTCAACAGTACCCTATTACTCTCCTGCTCAGATTGTTGCCAAAAGGGCTGACTCTACCTCCCAGAATCAGGTCAAAAGCACCAAATCAACCAAACAAACCCCCAAAACAGTCAATGCTGCAAAATTAGCCACTAGGAACCAGAGAACTATCAGAATCCTCAGCTGCTGTCTCAGCAACGCAGAAGACGTACAAAAAAAAAAAAAAAGAGAATGGGAGAAAGCAAATTTTCCTGTTACGGAGAAAACATTAGAATGGCAGCAAGAGTGTCAAGGTCTGTCCTGATGTCACTGTAGATGATAAGATGGGCAAGATTAAATTCTCCTAACAGCTGCCTCTCACCTTTGGGAGTACTTAACCCTATGCTCTTGAACAAGGGCTCAACTCCTTAAGCAGAGTTAA